AGATTGACTTTGCCCCATGACAACAAAGGGAAGTGCAACCAGACAACAACAATCAGGAGGGCCAATAAACACACAGAAAAAAATACAGACAGAGCTGAAACTGAAGTTACTGAAACCAAAACCAACCAACCAAACAAACAAACAAAAAACAGAACTGACAACTGACTAAAACTGAAGTTCAACCAAAAAATACAGACAGAACTGACTGAAACCGAAGTTCCCTGCGACTATTCGACTATTTGCTAGGGGACCTGACTGAAGTTCCCTGCGTCTCCCTAGGGAACCTGGCCTGGGAAGTAATGCTGGAGTCCAGCCTTTCCCCTTGCCACTGACTGAACAGAAAACAGTACTCACCGGTGAGATTCCAGATGACTCAGATGAGTCCAGATGCTCTCTCAGAATCCAATTTAGAGCAGGATTTGAGACCGGGCTAGGGAAACTGGGAGGGCAGGCTGAGTCCCAAGGCAGAGGAATGTCCCTCCGAGGCCTTCCCCTAGACTAGCCCCCTCCTTGCAGCTTCGATAGCAGGTCTAGTGGTCCGGTCTGGGGCTTCCCCATAAGGAAAGAATCTTGCTGAAGACTCCAAATGTTGTGGCAGGAGAGAACCTAGAGACCACCAGAGCCAAATTGAAGCCAAATAGAGAGCAAAGCCAGCCGGCAACTGATCCCGAGTTCTCGGAGATCGGCCCCAATTTTCGGCTACATTTTTATTTTATAGGGGACTTGTCACAAATTTCTGCAACTGGCATTTCTTGTTGGCCTTAGGGGAGAGCAAGCAAGCAAGAACAGAAGTGGAAGCAGTTAGCAATAAGCGATAAGTGGGAGGGAACAGAGGTGGGAGGGAGCTGAGGCAGGAGGGAGCTGAGGCAGGAGGGAGCTGCATCAGCACACATCTATGGTCAGTGTTGTCCTGCTCTTCACTCTATTTTCTCAGTTCTAAAAAGGAACAAATTCGCTTAGAGGGCAAATTTGTTTAGAGTAGTGCCAGGCCAGCTGGTACTTCCTCAGTTTGCCTCTGAAAGCTCCACCGTTGGCCTTTTGTATTATTTAATCAGGGCGAGGTGATATGAGCAGGCCAGCACAGTACCATTCCCTCTCTAAACTTAAGTACTGGGCGGGGGGAGGGGGGAGTGTGTGCTGGGAAGGGAATGGAGATTTATCTAGAATTACGGTTTCTCCAGGACATGGTCAGCAAATTATCCCACTTTGTTCCCCTACAGCGCAGCAAACAGGGCCTGGCACCGAGTGGATGTCAGTACTTATTTGTTGACTAGTTCACTGTGGTCAAGGTGGGGCAGGAGGGCCTGAACTTTGGCACAAAAACAAAAAATGTTCATGTGCAACCCTCAGGGAGCATGGCAGAGTAAGAAATGAGGGGTTACACACAGCTATCACAGGGCAAACCCTCCAGAGCATCCAGAGGTGAGACTCCCAGTCCCGTAGGTCCAGAAACAGCACAACTCTTCTTTTTTTAAATCTTGGGAATAATTTATTGTACATAGTAACAAAAATTACAACTACACAGTAATTTCTAGAACACAGAATAAATCAAGTTTTCTTTTAATGACAATTATCCGAAAAAATGAAGATAGTAAGTCTTTACATTTCACTTTCAAGGCACAAATTCCCCACAGCTAAGCCTGTGAAGCACCTTGTCATGATATTTGTCAATTGTTTCTTCTCAAATTCTTAACTGGTCTTCACAATACTCTAGTTCCTTATTTTCCCACTGGCCATAATCTGAAAGGTCTGCCAAAGTACTTTTATGAACGTAATTAGATAAAATTACTGTTCAGTTATACTTAAATTGGAAGGATCTTAGGCTTGATGGACAGGGTAGTATGAAGCTATCAGACCCATTCAGCCTCCCGGTTCCTGTGATCACAGCTGACAGTCCAGAGAAGGGCACCTGGCCCAGGAAGTCATCAGATCTTCCTGAGAGAGTGAGGCCTCAGGGTCTGTGGGCAGCCACCGAAGGGAAACTTGGAGAGGTCAGCAGCCATATGCTGGAAAGAGCTGAGTTGAAAGGATGAAACTGATGCCAAGTAAAAAGTTGGGAGTAAAAAGGAAGAAAAAAACACATCGTGATAGCAGGTGAGTCCCTGATTCCAATGTCTGAAACCTAATACAGTGTAGTTATCCTGGCTTGTAAATTCTTCTTTTCCTAAGTTAAGCAGTTGTTTGTAAACAACTGTGTATTAAAAGAGCAGTGTTGAAATAAAAGATATAAGAGACTCTGGGATAGTAATGGAGGAGACAGAAGGAGGGCAGAGTTGGGGTTAAGGAAGAAGACCCCCTCTTACAGACAGCAGTAACTATCCAGCTCAGTGACTAGAGGTGGCCTTATTTGAATAGCAAGCAGTAACATTTAATTTTTAAAATAATTCATCCTTCCCGGCTGGTGTGGCTCATTGATTGAGCATTGACACATGCACTAAAAGGTTGCCGGTTCGATTCCCAGTCAGGGCACATGCCCAGGTTGTGGGCCAATCCCCAGTGGGGGATGTGCAAGAGGCTCTCATCGATGTTTCTAACTCTTTCTCCCTTTTCCTTCTTCTCTCTCTAAAATCAATAAAGAAAAAAAAAAATTGATCCTGCTTCCTAGTATTACTTAATCCATGATTAGATAAGGTAGGGTAAATTTGAGATCAGTGAAATAGTAATGCTATTTAAAAACAATAACTGAGCTACATGTCAACAAGACTGAGGTTAAACTATATCAAAACTTAATAAACAAATTGACATTAGTGTCCATGCTCATCTTTGATATGGGTAGGTTTTTAGAAAGAGAGAAAGACACAGGAATATGAAAAACAGAAGTCCAGTTTTGCTTCCATTTCCTCCTGTTTGGATGGACCCACTAAAATTTTTTCACCAGTTTTGTTGTTGCCAACATCTCAGACGTTCGCTCCTTTGCACCTAGTAAGGAATGCTTTGCTGTGTGGCATGCCTGAGCTGCTACTGGAGTAGCTGCTAGATTTGGGTTATATTTTAATAAAACCTGGAGAATGTCTTCTGGAATTGTAGTTACTTTTGGAGGTGTAGGGGTTCTGAGCAAATTCTCGTAAGAAGAAATCACAGGGGAAGAGGAAGCTACACAATTCTCAAAGCTCTTGTGTGAATTCAAAACTAACAATGTATAATCTTCTATTTCCAAATCATTTGATGAACTATATTTTGATAATGGATGATCTGTGTATACCAAAGCGGTTCTGTTCATTGTAGAAGGAATTTTCAAACCAGGAGTACAGAATGTAGGTGCCAAGGGAGACTTTGTATGTTCAGCATCATTTCCCCCCCATTTGCTGGTTCGTGAGGCCAGTAGTGGCCCTATCACTGGACACTCGTTCTGTTTCTACAGCTTACTCACTTCTATTCTTCACATTTTTAAGTCCCATTGTGTAATCTTCATTCAAACACACAGTATACTCAGAGATACCGAAGGAAACAGCACAACTCCTGACCCAGTTACCCAGAGGTAACTTGTCTCTCCATGGCTTGAAAAAACCCAAATGCAAATGAGAAGTTTACTCAGCAAAACATTCATTTCCAATAGGGCATTGAGGCAAGCTGTCTTCCAAAATGAGCAAAGAGATTAATAAAGCTTTCCTTGTCTCAGCTACATGCTAGTCTGCCTCTTCATACCCCTCAGCACCCCCAACAATAGCCCAGTTCCAGGTCCCTTCTGTAGATGTTTGCTCAGCATCTTTGGCTTTTCCTAGTTTGATGGCCTGATTCTAAAATCCTAGGGGTACTGATCAGGCTGGAAGGTAGGGCAGCTCCTGAGGCCTTCCCCACTTCCCCTCCATACACACTCTGGATCTGTAAGCCTTTACAAGACAAAGTCCTGTCACCACCCCTTCAAGTCTGTTCTAAGCTGGAACAGCACAGAATGGGCACACGGGTCAGCATAGTGGTTGGGATGATTTGAAGTTTGAAGCCAGGGGCACTGGCCCAGGAGGCCACCTGGAGCTGTACTTTCTTCTCTCACCAACTGGGGTTCTGGCATGCTTCCCTGCTGGCCAAAAGCTAATTTGCTCCTTCCTTACTTTCATACCCTGTCACATGCTCTCCCTGTTCCCACCCCATTGCCTAAAATTCATCAGCCTTTTCAGTTGTCACCCAAGGCATCATCCTGTTCCATGCAGCCGACCCTCCAGAGCATCCAGAGGTGAGATTCTCAGTCCTGTGGGGCCAGAAACAGCACAACTCTTGATCCTGTTCATTCTGCACTCAGTGTCCTCCCAGTGTCCCCGGGTTGTCAGAGTGACTTTCTTAACATGCACAGTGAATCACATTGTTCCTGGGTTCCAAACCGACTCTGTAGTCCACAAAACTGGTCCATCTCCTCAGCTATGATCTTGCTCCAGTCCACTCCTAGGTCGACCCCTCTTAAATCAGAAAATAACCAAAACTAGATTCTAAATTGGCTCTCCTGTTTCAAACCTCCATGCCTTTGCATGTACTATTCTCTCTGTTTAAGGTGTCTTCACAATCTTTGAATCCCTGGTGAATTCCCACTGTTTCAAGCCCCACCTGAGGGACATCCATTCCAGCCAATCTCAATGCTGTATGAAAATCTCTGTTTTGGGGCCTGCCTTTCCACTAGATATTCTTCCAAAGAATATCTTCCACTGGTATTTTTCCAAAGCAACGGCCATGTGTGGCTCATCGCCGTGCTCCGGGTTTCTAGCTGGGGGCTGGCACAAAGCTGTGCCACTGAGAGCTGATGAATGGTTCAAAGCCCAGGGCGGAGGCTACCTCCCCATGTCAGCTCTGACACTTTCCCATTACCCCAGGTCAGCTGCTCGTCTACTGTTCTCCTCCTGCGTGCTCCTCCCGGCCCTGGGCGTGTCTTCAAAACCCACAGTCCTCCTCTCCGCCCCTAGAACCGCCCCCAGCTCTGTCTCACTTCCTCTCGTGAGACAGTCCCAGAGCCCGCACCTCCCCTTTCGGACAGCTCCGGAAACTCAGCCTTCTGGCGCTTGATTCTCGTTCAGCTTCTTCCGCCCTCCAAGATCAAATTGAGAATCGAAACTACGCTGAGGTCCATGCAGCAGGAGCCTGCAGCCGCCCAATCTCCGGGGTCCCACCAGGACTCCGCACTGCCCCACGCTCCCACCATGCCTCCCCCGGAGTCTGTCTCCGAAAGCCACCAGCCCAGCCCGGACCACAGCCCCATAGAGGTACTACTGGGTTTGGGGAGATGGAGTTGTTAATTTGCTGTGATGAGAGAAGAGGTGCGAAGGGAGAGGGAACTTGGCCAAGTTCACAGAGGGAAGACCAGACCCTGGAGTCCTGACGTTCTTGGCTCCGGTGGGAGTAGGGGAGAGCAGACAAGATGAAAAAGATGACCAGGGTGAGTTAGGGGAGCCTCTCTGGGCTGCTATTGGCCACTGAGCTGTGGCACCTAGGCCCGGACTCTACGACCTACGCACTGGTGACTTGCCTCTTTGCCCCTGCTCTGACGAAGGCCCCAGACAGGTAGCCCTATTGGCCCCGCCTGGAGCAAGGCGCATGGCTCTGGACCCAGTGAGGGTGGGGGGAGGGGGAGGGATCACGTTGGAGAAAACAAAACTAAAGAACCAGATCAGAATAGGAAACTGGCCCAGACAAGAGAGGTGACTCAGTTAAGGCCTCGCAGCTCCTGTGGTTTCTTCTCCAGGAAGCCTTCCAGATATTTCTCCTGGAACACCCAGCCCGCCCCACCCCCATTCCCAAAGCAGTTGATTAGGTTTTCCTCTGGAAGCTTTTGCTTAGCATTCTCCTGAACAAACCCCAGCCTACCACCCACTAAAAGGGCTACTTAGATCACTTGCTCTACGTTTTTCCAGGACCTTCTGAAAGCACAAATAACACCAATCGCAGTAATTTGTGTCATTTGCATAATTACAACTAGGAATAATATTGCTTAACATTTATGAGCACTTCTCATGTGCCGTGTACTGTATTATGCACTTTTTTTTGCATTAAAAAAAAATGTGGTAAAATACACACAAGATTTGCCATTTTAACCATTTCTAGGTGTACTGTTTAATGACATTAATTATGTTCGCAATGTTGTGTAACACTCACCACCATCTAGTTCCAGAATTTTTTCATCACTCCAAACAGAAACTGTACCCTTTAAGCAGTAACTCCTTATTCTCCCCTTCCTTCAGCCCCTGGTAATCTCTAATCTACTTTGGCTCTGTGAATTTGCCTACTCTAGATATTTTGTATAAGTGGAATCACACAACATTTGTCTTTTCATGTCTGGCTTAGTTCATTTACCATAATGTCCTTCCATTTAAAGGCTGAATAATATTTCATTATGTGTACCACATTTTGTTTATCCATTAATGGACATTTGGATTGTTTCTACCTTTGGCTGTTGTGAATAGTGTGCTGCTGTAAATGTATATAAGTATCTGTTTGGGTGAGTGGTTTCAGTTCTTTTGGGTATGTATTTAGGAGTTGAATTGCCAGATCATATGGTAGTTTTATGTTTACTTTTTGAGGAACCACCAAACTTCATATAAGGTTAATACTTAACGTATCTCCTTTCTAAACTGAGGTCAGTGATAGTAGGGATGGATGTATCCTATATATCCTTGTATCTCAGGACCTGGTACTGTGTCTGATGGGAAGTAGATAATAAATTGTGGCGTTAGAGTGGGAAAGCCTGAGTAAATGGGGAATCGTAATACTGATAAGCCTGGGTTTTACAACATCCAGTGACTAACTGGAATGGAATATGAAGTCCCATCCCAGCCTCCAGCCATTGGGGCAGGTGACTGATGGTGTTGGGGGCAAGGGTAGTGATTCCTGGGACTTTAGGTCTCACCTCTCTCTTTTGGTCCCCCAGCAAGCCACGGAAGAGGAGTTCCAGTTCCTGCGCTGCCAGCGCTGCCAGGCAGAAGCCAAGTGCCCAAAGCTGCTGCTTTGCCTGCATACACTATGCTCAGGTTGCTTGGAGGCCCCAGGCATGCAGTGCCCTATTTGCCAAGCTAATGCGCCAGTCTTGGATAACATCTTCTTCGAGAGTTTGCAGCGGCGCCTGTCGGTGTACCGACAGATCGTGGGCACGCAGGCCGATTGCACCCGCTGCAAAGAGCCGGCAGAGTTTTGGTGCTTTGAGTGTGAGCAGCTTCTCTGCGCCAAGTGCTTCGAGGCGCACCAGTGGTTTCTCAAGCACGAGGCCCGGCCCCTGGCAGAGCTCCGCAGCCAGTCGGTGTGCCAGTTCCTGGATGGCACGCGCAAGTCCAACAATATCTTCTGCTTCAACCCCAATCACCGCAACCCTACACTGACTAGGTGAGCCCGGGGTGGGGTGACACATCCAAGAACCAGGTACAGGGTGAATGTGAAGCAGAGATCAAGAGTCACAAAGCTGAGAACGTGGGACAAGGAGCTTCTAGGGTCTTGCAACTCTAAGTGTGGTCCACAAACAGCAGCATCTGTAGTGATGACCATGATTTATGCTATGCCATGCTAGTGGATCCTAATAGTTTCCAGTTTTCCCCTATAGTAAATAATAGTGCAGAATCATCTTCTCACTCTATTCAGTAATTCATTTAGGGTAAAGTTTTAGAAATGCCATTGCTGGGTAAAGGTATATGGAAATTTTACATTTTGATACATGTTACCAAACTGCCATTCAGAAAGTGAAATTTTCCATGAGTGCTGGATTCTAGGATGAGAGAGATGCAGGCAGTTTCTGCCTAAAAAGTCAAAACCTAACTCCATGCCATCTGGGAATGTATGTATGGGGAAAAAATCAACTCCAGTTATCATTTTTATTAAACAACACAATGTTTTAATTCATTTTTTGATAAATAATACATTTATATGGTTCAAAAATAACAAAACTTATAGAGAAGGCAAGTCTCTATTTCTTTTTATACTCTGCCTAATTCCCACCATTCTTCCTCCCCTATCCAGGTAATCATTGTCACTAGTTTAGAATGTTCCAGAGTTTCTTTGTGAATATATATACACAGAAATGAGGATATAGTCTTTTGAGGTCTTATTTTTACTCCTTTTGGCCAAAAAGGAAGCGTACCTATGTGAACTTTGGGACAACCTCTCCCAATATATTGTATGTGTATTGTGTGCTTGTTCTTGGGGATGTGCTTTTAAAATGAAGGATAGGGGACCCACTGAGAACCGCATTCCTGCTGAACTTAGTGTGACTCACTTCCTGCTAAGAAGTTTACCACGTGCACTTCCCACTGCTCCCTTCTCCACCCTCCCCTTCCTCAACAGTGGCTATTATCTTTTGAATTTGGATTTCTTTGCTTATTTTTAAGGTTGAGGTTCAGCAGCTTTTCATATGTCTGTTTACCATTTCTTTCTTCATTTGTGAATTGCCTATTTGGGTCCTTTGCCTTTTTTCCCCTTGGATAAATTAATCTCTTTAATTGTAAGAGCCTATTAAGAGTGTAAACACAATACCTCATACAACATGAGGTATCAGTGTTTAAGTTTTTAGTTTTATGTAGTCCAATCCATCAATCTCCCTTTATAGTTTGTGGCTTTGATCATCCTAGGAAATATTTTTTTACCATGCCAATGTTAAAAATATTTTCTTATATTCTATTTTAATAATTTCATGGTTTTGTTTTTATAATTAAACCTTTAATTCAAATGTCATTTATTTTTGTGTGTGTGGTATATAAGGTAGAAACCTTCACTTTGCTTTTTCTCTCCAAATGGAAAGCTAGTTCTCTCAACTTTCATTGAGACATTTTATATATATATTTTTTTTATCCTCACCCAAGGAAATTTTTCCATTTTTTGTTCAGGTAGAGTGGGGAGAGAGAGGAACAGAGAGAGAGAGAGAGAGAAACATCGATGCGAAAGGGACACATCGAGTGGTTGCCACCCGCACAACCGACCAGGGCCGGGGACAAACTGCAACCGAGGTACATGCCCTTAGCGGGAACCGAACCCGGGTCTCTCATTGAGACATTTTAATAGTCCACTCTAGCCTCGATCTGAAATGCCCTTTTTATCATGAACTAAATGTCCATGTAGTCATGAGTATGTTTGTAAATCTCTGTTCTGTGCCAATGATCTCACTATTCCTACGCTAATCCTTACTGTTACAAGGAATTCTGTAGCTTTATATTTGATAGGACAAGTTCCCATTCTTCAAAAATAATTTGTTCTTTTACTTTTATGCAGTTTCAGAACTTACATATTCATTAGGATTTTGATTGAAATTGCAATAGATCTGGGGAGAATTGGCCTCATCTCTGGTTATAACTTTTGGGTTTTATAGTTTTATTCACATACATCTTGAACTTTTAAATTATAGTTAAATTTAGAATATTTAATAACATTGAGAATGGAATCCTTTTCCATTATGATTTCTAATGAGTTATCATTAGCATTCACTATTGCTCTTAATTTATGTATATTAATTATATCTAGCCAATTATATAAAACTCTTTTATTCTTATAAGTTTTTCAGTTGCTTCTTTTGGATTTTCTAGGTATACAATCATATTATCTGCAAATAATAAAAACTTTTTCTGTCAGTATTTACACACACTACTTTGTGGCTTTGTTTCATTGGCCAGAACAATATTGAATAATAGTGTTAGAAAAAGCAACTTGATCTTGTTCCTATCATTCATGAAAAATTTTCTTATTTAGTATGATGTTTACTATTGACTTCTTTTTTCTTTTATCCTCACCCAAGGACATTTTTTTCATTTTTGTTCAGATAGAGGGGGAGGGAGAGAGAGAAAAACATCCACGTGAAAGGGACATATCGAGTGGCTAGGGACAAATCGCAACTGAGGTATGTGCCCTTGATCAGAATTGAACCTGTGACTTCTTGGTCTGCAGGCCAAAGCTCTAACCGCTGAGCCAAATCAACGAGGCCTACTATTGACTTCTTTAGGTAGCTTTTAAAAATCACACTGAAGGAGTGAGGGGTCCCTGTCCCACACCAACCTCCCAACTCAGGGTTCCAGTGCCAGGAAGAGAAGTGCCCATAACTTCTGACTGGAAAAACCAGCGGGAACTGAGGCTAAGGGAGACTGAGGTGGCTGGAGCCCCAGGCAGCTCCTCTTAAAGGGCCTACACATGGACTTAACTTGGACTTGCTCCCTCTAAGCTTGGAGGGGAGACAGCTTGAGTGGTGCCAGAGACATACAGGGAAGAACTGAGTTGTCTGGCCTCTGGACAAGGGCTGGAGAGGCAGCTTTCTCCTGGAAAGACATGCTGGTAGAGGCTGATGTTCCTTTAGTGAGCTCTTCCCTGGGGCAGCAGATGGCCACCATATCTGGGACTCCAGCAATCTGGCTCACACTGTTTGCCCCGCCCTGGTGATTCCCTGAGGCCCCGCCCCACCCAACTTTCGGGCCTACCCAAGCTGTTTCCAGTGGCTTTACCATAGAATTGGCCTGGCTTGGATCTTACTTCAGAGTTTCCTAAAATCTCTCAAACAAGCAGCATCTGGTGGTAGTGAGCCCCATACCTCTCCTTAAGTGTCCCCAAGCCTGGCACTAGAAGCAGCCAGCCCTGGTTCACAACTTGGCTTTCCTGGGCACCTCCAAGTTCAGCACAAGAAGCAGCTATCTACAGATTACTTTGTAGCTTATGCCGGGTGCCCCCGAATAGAACACAGGCAAACGCTGACCTTGCCCCAGAGCCAGCACACCTAGGGGACAGCTTCAGATCCCATCGAAACACCACCATCCAACCACCTCCACAAGTGAACACTCAATGAGCAGACTCAGTGGGTACCAGAGCCCTGATGAAGTAAATCTTTCTCTGTGTGCTGGGCCCCTACATAGCTCATCCTCCAAGGTAGTCAGAAGCCAGTGGTCCATGGGCACAGCCAGTCCTTGCAGCTGATCAGCCTGAGTAAATCCCTCCCATTGATGTGCGAACAGCAATGAAGACTCGATTACAACAGAAGGGTATACAGTCCACACGAAGGGTGTACCTCGAGGGCCCAGCTGGGATGATCAGGGAAGCTGTGCCACTAGATCCTACAGGACACCTATAACAATAGGCCATCCTATGAAGCCTAGGAGATATAGCAACTCTATGTAATACATGGGAACAATCACAAGGAAGCTGCCAAATGAGGAGACAAAGAAACATGTCCCAAATGAAAGAAAGAACAAAACTCCAGGAAAAGAATTAAACAAAATGGAGCTAAGCAATCCATCAGATGCAGAGTTCAAAACACTGGTTATAAGGTCGCTCAAGGAATTTGGTGAGACTTTCAAGGAACTTAGTGAAACCTTCAAAGAACTTAAGGAGACCTCTAAGGAACTTAGTGAGAACATCAACAACATAAAAAAAGGACCAGTCAGAAATGAAGGATGTACTAACTGAAAGAAAGAATAATTTATAGAGTATCAGTAGGAGAGTAGGTAAAGCCAAGAAGCAAACCATCGATTTGGAATATAAGGAAGCAAAAAACACCAATTAGAACAGCGTAAAGAAAAAAGAATCCAAAAAAAATGAGGATGGTGTAAGGAGTTTCTGGGACAACTTCAAGCATACCAACATTCACATCATAAGGGTGCCAGAAGGAGAAGAAAGAGAACAAGAATTTGAAAACCTATTTGAAATAATAATGACAGAAAACTTCCCTAATTTGGTGACGGAAACAGACACACAAGTCCAGGAAGCACAGAGAGTTCCAAACAAGATGAACCCGAAGAGGTCCACACCAAGACACATCATCCTCAAAATGCCAAAGGTTAAATACAAAGAGAGAATCTTAAAAGCAGCAAGAAAAAAGCATTTTGTTACCTACAAAGGAGCTCCCATAAGACTGTCAGCTGATTTCTCCAAAGAAACTTTGCAGGCCAGAAAGGAGTGGCAAGAGATATTCAAGGTGATAAAAAACAATGACCTGCAACCAAGATTACTCTGTCCTGCAAAGCTATCATTTAAAATCGATGGACATATCAAGAGTTTCCCAGACAAGAAAAATCTAAAGGAGTTCATCACCATCAAACCAGTATTATATGAAATGTTGAACGGTCTTCTTAAAGGAGAAGATGAACAATAAAATGGCAATTAATACATCTCTATCAACAATTGAATCTACAAAGAAAATGAGCAAGCAGAACAGAAACAGACGCCTAAATACAGAGAACTTTTTGTTGTTTGCCAGATGGGTGAGGGCTGGAGGGATGGGTGAAAAAGATGAAGGAATTAAGAAGTACAAATTGGTTGTTAGACTGATGAACCTCTAAGGGAATGGGGGGGCGGATGAGATAAACCAAAGAACTTCTATGCATATATGCATAACCAATGGACACCAACAATAGTGTGGGGAA